GGCATAGCTGGATGCTGCTCCCAGTATGTCTTGGCAGACAGACCCCAGTTCACAGTCTACTTTGATCTTCATTCTAGAAGGGGCCTGCTCACCCTTCCCACCCCGCACCCCCAGATCAAGCAGCCTCTATGAACAATTCACTCCCATAGACTAGGAACTTGCAGACTTGCTGAGGTCAAAGAGGGGAGGATCTGCCACCCCAGGATGGAGGTGTCCGGCTGTAGCGCATGAGGTGTGGCCACTGCCCTGGGTCTTATCTGGTGGCTGGGAGCTGGGCTTGACCTCACTTATTCCTCCACTGCTTCCCTGCCTCTCACAGGTATTGTGCAGCACCAGGGACTTCACCTTGATGTAAATTTGCCTCATAAATATCTCCAAACAGTCCCGGGGGATCTCTGCAGAGAAGCCCCTTAAGCTGTTCCTCCCCATCTCCACATCTTCTGTGTGCAGAGCTCAGTAGAATGGAGTCCGTCATGACCATCAATTCTGGCTTATTAGACAGCCATACCCCTCCCCTCTCAGAAATGCCTTGTTTTTATCTCTAGTGGAAAATGGCTTGGCTTTGAATAAGAATAAAAGTAAAAAGGGAGGGTTTTATGGCTTAATTTTACAGAAGAATATGCCTGTTCTCAAAATGAGCATGGGCTGGGTGTCGTGCAGCGGTGAGGAGCTTAAGCATAGAAGGGCTGGTCCAGGAGTGTGACTCCCAGAGTTCCATATACTCAGCCCTTTTCTGCTGAGGTGAGCAGAGAGGCAAGTATAGAGGCAGACATCAGGGCAGCGGGGAGGGAGGCTCTGGGAGGAGAGGGTCCTGGCTGCGGCAGGACCAGAGCAGAGTGTGTGGGTGGGTGGCCCGATCCCGGAAAATCCAGCCGCTCTGGGAGGTCATCTTAGCAGTGCTGATTTGGGAGCAAAGTCCACAGGGTCAATGCTGGGTTGCCAGGCCAAGAAAGTGGCTGGACTCTGGAGCAAAAGCGCTGGGCTTGGGTCCAGAGTGGTCCTCTCCCACGCGGCTCTCGGAGGCATGTTCTTTCCAGGGGACTCGGACTACAGCACAAAGTCCTCTGTCCTAAGTTCAGTATCTTCAGTGATGAGGATAGCGTGACCAGGAAGGATGTGGACGTCTTGCTTGACATGCTCTTCTTCTTCCTTCTTTTTGCCCCTGCCTTTCAGCAACGTACGTTCTGCTTCAATGTTGAGATGAAGATACGAACCACAGACTGTGTAATGATGTGGAGTGCACATGTGTTTTGGGGAAACTGAAAGGGAATTTATTCAACAAATACCAATGCATCACGGTGTGGGGCAGTGGGCAGGCAGCTGTGAGCAAGGCCAGTCCCTGCCCTTAGAGCTTGTGAAAGGGGACTGCTCAACCTGGTTTGCTTAGGACTTTCAGTGCTGAAACTGGGAAGGTCCTGGGCAAACTGGGATGAGTTGGCCACCCTATCTAGTCACGATGGTGGCAAGGGGATGTTTCCTGTGGCATTTGCTGGTTGGGAGGGAGGGAAAGTTGGCAAGTGTGTGAGATAGAAGAGCCTGAATCTTGTGGAGAGAAGCCATGCGAGTGATCCTTTCTTCCCACTTCCTTATTCTGTGACCAAGACATGGAGCAGAGAGAGGAAGTGGCTCATTCATGGTCACACAGTAAGGTGGGGTAGAGCTGGGAACAGCACCTGGGTGATTTCATCTACTTCCAATGCTCTTTTCCTAAAACAATCCCTCCACATCATCTTCCTTATCCTGCCCGCCCCTCACCTCTCTGCTCACCCAGGGCCACCTTAGGTCAGGCGTGGAGAAACTGAAGGCTGAGGGAAGGTGTCTCCTGATGCCAAGAGAAAGGCCACAGCAGCTGCATGGCTGTTGCTGGGAGACCCCAGCTGTCCCAGGAGAGAAGAGAAAAGAAGGATTTAACGAGGTCAGGACGTTTGGCCTGCAGGGATTACAGTGTAAAGAAACCAAACACTTCTGGTGACTACAAATGTGAGGAATTGAGGCCATTAATGCAGGAGGGAGGAGCAGAGAACAGGAGCCTGCTGGCTGCAGCGGGGACCTGACCCTCCTTCCAAGGGAGGAGGTATGTAAGAAAAAGGAACAGGCGGACATCAGCAGCAGCGCACAAAACGTAGGCCGTAGATAAAACAAGCAAGCTTGTTAGCTTCGTTTCATTCCGAAACCATTCATGGAGTGCCTCCTCAGTGCCAGACTGTGGTCCAAGGTTGGCAGACAGCACTGTCCCTAACAAAGTTCCTGCTCTCACGGGGCTTCATTCCAGTAGAGCGGGGCAGACAGTAAACAGGTACGAATTTGATACCCTAGAGGGTATGTTCAGCTATGTTCAAATAAGTTTTCCTATGAAAACTGTATGTTCAGAAGTCTTTCGGGTAAAAACCCTGATCAGCAGGGTTTAGCTTATTAAACAAACATAGCATTTCATTCTGCAAGGAAAAAGACCATCAGGAGACCAGCTTCCAGAGACGGGCAGCTCAAACTGTCATGGGTGCTACTGGGAGGAATTAAAATTGGTCTCTTCAGAAGGGAGAGACTGGGCACTTATGTTCAGAATTAAGAAGGGAGGAGAGTAGGGGGAAGTAGTTAACCCCTAGCTCTGAACACCCTGGAAATGTGGATAGCAAGGCTCTGGGAATGCGGAGGAGACCCTCTGGGGAAGCGCAGAGAGATACAGAAGCAAAGTTTTCCTTGCTGGTGGAGTTGAGTAGGGAGGACAGTGAACCTACACCAAATCCACTGACCTTCTTGGGAGCTGTTATACTTTATATAAAAGAAGAATTCATGTGCTATTTGTTTGACCACATATGGTATTACTTTTTAAATGCAATTAGCAAGTGGTGTGTGTGTTAATACGCATCTCTGTCAGTTTCCATGCCTAGGGAAAGCCCAACTGCTCGTCTTGATCATCAAAATAAACACCAGCTAGAGGACTTGTTTGACTGTCAACCACAAATCTTTTAATTGCTGTTATAAAATTGTATTCACAGCTTTCTTTTCAAAAAAAAAAATTGAAAAAGATCTGATGAGTTTAAGAAGTTGTGCCAATCTTTCTCCTTCATTCAAATTCCTCCCTTCACCTCCATATTCCCTTCCTTCTTTCACCACTGTTAAATCAGCTGTTTCCCTCCTCGACAGCCACAGCACTGTTCCCTGAGACCCACAGGACCTTTGCACGTCTTACTTTTGCCATTGAAGTTTTGAATCCAATCTCTCATCCTCTGAGAGCCCTTCCTGACCACTCCTTCCACAACAGCTGCCAGGCATCATACTCTCCTCTGGCCCAGAGTTTCTTTTCATCTTAGCACTTATATGAAATTGTATTTTTTTCTTCCATATTTATCTGTTTCTCTGCCAAAGCATAAGCTCCATGAGGACAAGGACTGTGGGACTGTGTCTACTTCCTGCTGTACCCTCAGTGCCTATAACACTACCTGCCTAGTAGAAGACACTCAGTAAATATTATTCCATTAAATGCAAAAACAAATGAATTCTACACCAATCTATTAACTTGATTTTATTAAAATTGTAAGTACAAAGTAGATTTGGGAAAAGGCTGAACTCTTTCTTTCCCCCATTCCTCTCTGGCGAGAGAGGAGAGCTGGAAATAGAATGGAAAAAGTTTCTGTAAATTTCCGGTAACCATAGAGATGCTGATCGTAGTTTATTAATCTCATGCTCTTAAGCAGGCTGGGGACCCATGGTGATTTCTCCAAATTGCTTAGTGTTGGTTATCCTGCAGCCTTCCTTATTAAGGTAGAGCAGGCCCATTCCTATTCTGCAACACTTTAATTACTGACAAGCAGAAGCCCCATGCTATTACGCTCATTATAGCATGTTCTGACCTGGCTGCACCTCCCACTCTGGAGCAATGGAACATAGTCACCAGCCCTAAACCCTTGGAGCCTTCAGTGGGAACACTCCTCTCCAAACCCAGGGCCTGGGTCAGGGCTGTGATTGCTGCCCCATCCTTTCATTCAACTACACAGAAAATGGGAGCTTAGTGCCTTCTGGAACAGCATTTAGGCAGGGAAGGGCACTAGCAGTGGTCTCCTGCCCATAAAGACTATGCTTGCAGAGGAGGGAACCACCCTCAGGAGCCATGGCACTTTTCACTGTCTGGCCTCTGTGGGGTCTGATTTCAGAATTGTGTGTTCCTCTTAGTTGGGGAATACCTCAAGCCCTCAAGAGACCTCCAAATGGCTTCAGGGTTTCAGCGGGACTAGGGAGAAATGGGCCATTTAGGAGCATTCTCTTTCATGGCCATTTCCCCTTCAAGGAGAGACCCTGGTGCAGGTGTTGAGGACCAGAGCTGGGATTCTGTCTTGGTAATTGACTCACAGGGCAGCCATAGGTGGAAACTCAACCTCTTTAAATCTTAGCCTCCCCATCTGTGAAATGAGACTGGACTTGGTTCTTCTACCCCTTCCTCATGGTGAGACTCTGCTTCTAGCTCCAATACTGTTCTGGAAGCTAGATTTCTGTGATGAATGAGGAGCAGAAGTCCCAGGCAGTATGCCTTCTGGAGTGAAGGGAAGTAGACTTCGGCAGTAGAAGCCTCTGGGAGGAGGCATCTTTGTCTCCTGAGGCTGGATGCCTGAGGTCTGGCCTCACCTAGGTGTTGGCTGCCATTTTGGAAATATTACGAATTTACTTTGGTTCCATTTCCCATTCTACTGGATTTAGAAGCATTGAGTCATGCTTCCGGGAAACAATCAGGGACTACCTGCCAGCTGCCATGTGCTGTCCTAAGTGCTCATGGCATTACTGTTCAGCTAGCGCAGTCACTGACAAATTCAACTGGTTTCAATGCTTGTGGGCCTTTCTGCTGGACATTTAAGGCTCATGTTAGGTACATCAAAGAAGGGGCCCTTGGAAGAATCTGGACTCCTGAGCCCTCCAGCAAAGTTGGAGCCAAGACACAGCTGGGTCAGCTCCAGAGGTGACTCCAGCTGAGGCACTCACAAATCTAAGTACTTGGCTGTTCTTTGCAGGTGCCGTAACCTCTCGTTTCCTGACAGCCTGCCGGAGGTGAGCATCGTGTTCATCTTCGTCAATGAAGCGCTCTCGGTGCTGCTGCGCTCCATCCACTCGGCCATTGAACGCACGCCCCCGCATCTGCTCAAGGAGATCATCCTGGTTGATGACAACAGCAGTAATGGTGAGTGTCGGAGCTTCCCAGGGCCCAGGCCCTGCTTCCTGGCTGACATCCGAGCAGATGGTTTAGCATCGGGGTTCACATTTGCTCAAGGCTGTCTGGGGCTGCTCTTTCTCTGGAGCATAGGTGAGAAATTCGTGGTGGCCACTGCTTCAGAATGTTCATTCAATCTGAGCACAGCCTCTGCATCCCAGAGGGGCCTGGTCCTTAGGCCTTTTCTCAAAGGCTGGTCACTCTCCCCTCCCACATTCCAGTATATGTGATAAGATAGAAGGCCCTGACCTCCTACCTCACCATGTACACAGTAAATATGTCCAGTGACTGTTTTTCATGAAGCATCATTTCACCTAGTGGGATTCCTCAGCCTCTGCCTGGAAGATTATTCACTGGTGGTGTGTTAGCAGTGGTGATGGTGCTGACGGTGCAGATGATGATGGAGCTGGTGGTGACAGAGGTCGTAGTGGTGGTGATGATGGGGATGGTAGTGTGTGTGTAACTCAATGGCAGCGACAGACCTGTCGAATGTCTAGCCTCTTTGCTGGATCCCCTGTTCCCTATTCCACCTGTCCCTAGCCAGGCCCTGGGTGGCTTGCAAACACCTTGTTGAAGCCATCATATCACTAACTCTCCTTCTCCAGCACTACCAGCCACCTGTCTTCCCTGGTGCACAGTTCTTGGCCTCTGATTCTTCACACCCCCATGGGCCATCATATACCATTCCGGACTTAAAGACCACATTTTGAGACAGCTGAAAACCCAGTGTTCTTGATAGGACCATTTATGTGGATGTGCTTCTGATAATGCATGATTTCTCAAAATAGACTGCTAGGTCGCTGTATCATAGAAACACTGAGCTTGTGTTATCTTTTGAGCTTCCTCTGGTGTCAGGTAGTAAATTTCCTAGTGAATCAGTTGCTATAATGAGAAGTTCAGATGGGCAATTTGTGATTTGTTATCAATTAAAGCTGAAACACATTGGATAATTGAAATGTATTTAATCTGAGAAAGCGAATCTTCATTTTTATTTTATCATCATGTGGTAAGAAGTGTGGGAGCAGTGCTGTGATGAGGATTTTAGAGATTTCTGAAGGGCATTTCCGGCGAATCATTTGACTCTCATTGTTCCATGGACATGAAGAAAGGAAAAGGCATAGAGAATGCAAATAAGCAACATAGTCTTAAAGGTAATTGTCTATCACGAGGGAGACAGGAGGGCTTAGCTACCATCTCTGATGGCTGCCTATTGTCACCTAGCCTGGGACCCCAAAAATGGGTGCTTAAGAAAACTCTCATTCCCTAGTCACTAATACCAGATAGCCTGACTAGTCTGCCCCGCACATTCCACCCCTGGGCTTCACCTAGGTCTGCTGATCCTCCTCACTTCTTGCATTGTAAGGAGGCACAGGATGGAAGAACCAGCATTCAAGGGTGAAAACATCCCCCAAGCAAGAGGCACAACTCCTCATGTAACAAGAGAGAGGAGAATGGAGCACTACAAGGAAGAAATCTGGGAGCTGTTCGTTTCTTCCCTATAGTGAGAATCTTATCATGTCCTTAAGGATGCCATTGGGACTCTAAGTCATATGGAAAAAGCTGATATTGGGTGTGAGAAATTTAGAAAAGGAAAGTGAATCAGATGTAGAGTATTTCCTATTTGAACTTGAGTTTGAACTTTATTCTGTAAATGGCAATAAGCATCCAAAGCTTTTGGTCAGAGGGATGATGGGGTCAGAGTTGGGCAATGGAGGAACTCATTTGTTCCTCCAACATCATAAAACAACAACAGAGTTGTGCTTTATGATGTTAGCTGGGAAAAGGGCATCTTGAAGGGAAATAGATGAGAAGGCTATTGCAGCAGTAGAGAGAAGAAGTCAAGGGGCCTGGAGTCAGGGGCAACTTATAGGCCTGAGAGTTTTATAAAGGAAAAACCTGTTGGACCATTTTGCTGAGAAGCCATGGGCAGGCGGGCCAACAGAGGGCAGGTCAGTGATGGCTCAGAGTTTCAAGCCATCTGAATCGGTGATTCAGAGGATGGTGGCGCATTGCTCTGGAGGAGGCAGGCAGCAGGAGCAATGCCTGAGAGCAGTAGTCCTTCATCAGGGATGCAGACAAGGTGGCTCACGCCTGTAATCCCAGCACTTTGGGAGGCCGAGGAGGGTGGATCACGAAGTCAAGAGATCAAGACCATCCTGGTCAACATGGTGAAACCCCATCTCTACTAAAAATACAAAAAATTAGCTGGGCATGGTGACGCGTGCTTGTAATCCCAGCTACTCAGGAAGCTGAGGCAGGAGGATTGCCTGAACCCAGGAGGCGGAGGTTGCGGTGAGCCGAGATCGCTCCATTGCCCTCCAGCCTGGGTAACAAGAGCGAAACTCTGTCTCAAAAAAAAGAAGCACCCAAGAGCTTTCAAAACCAGAGCTCTAAAGCGTTGTGGTGATGGTTCAGTAAAGTATCTTGATTGTGGTGTTGGTTACACAAAGCGGTGCTTGTCATCATAACTGCATCGAGCTATATATGCACACCCAAACCAGTGCCTGTCTGTATAAGGAGGGATCAGAACTAGCTCTGCGGGTGGTAGCCGAGTCAGTGGCTGGTTTTTATATTGTGCTGTGGTTGTATAGTGTTACCATTGGGGAATACTGGGTGAAGGGGTGTGTGAGACCACCTTGTACATTTTTGTGAATCTGTAATTACTTCAAAATACTAACTTAAAACAAGCAAAAAGCTCTTCTAGAAGATTCTAATTCAGTGAGTTCAAAGAGGGTTCTAGACATCACTGTTTTAAAAAGCATTCTTTATTTATTTGTTTGTTTTGAGACAGGGTCTTTCTCTGTTGCCCAGGCTGGAATGCAGTGGCACAATCATGGCTCACTGCACCTTAATCTCCCAGGCTCAAACAATCTTCCCACCTCAGCCTCCTGAGTAGCTGGGATGACAGGTGCATCCACCATGCCTGGCTTATGTTTTATAATTTTGGTAGAGATGGAGTCTCACTATGTTGGGCAGTCAGGTCTCAAACTTCTGGGCTCAAGCAATCCTCCGGCCTCGCCCTCCCAAATTGTTGGGATTACAGGCATGGAGCTACTGAGACTGGCCTTAAGAAGCATTCCTAATGATTCACAGCTCTGTTAGAGAACCTTTTGCTTCATTAATAACATGTGGCTTCACTTTTGAACATATTCGGTGTCCAGTGCATGGTGTGAAGGGCAAGTGCTCTGGACTAAAGTCTGAAGTCATGGATTCTGGGGCCCTCTCCACCAGGGATAAGTGACCACAGAAAAGTCCCTCCGCCTCTCAGTCTGTTTCTCTCTATCTGGAAGATGGAGATGATAATCCTCCCTTGCTTGCCTCACTGCACATAGTGTGTGACTATGAATTGATCCCTGTCCCTACTACCCTCCCCAAGTTCTACGCCACTTCCAGGAGGCAGGAACCCAAGCCAGCAAGCTACATGGCAGCAGCCCCAGAGGGAAAATGTGGGAACACAGATTTGGAGTCTCATGCATGGAGTAATTAAATGCATGGACTGGAAGGAGAGGAGATCAAAATGGAAGAAGAAAGAACTGAAAGAAGCTTGAGAGAATACGGAGGGTGTGTTTGTGTCAGGAGGAAGAGCGTTAGCAGGTGAGAGAGGAGGAATGGTCGGGAGAATCTGGAAGATGGTGCCGTCTCTGTGGGCAGAGAGAATTTCAGGAATAAGAGAACCCACAGGCAGGTGGAAGGATGAGGAGTCTGAGCAGAAGCCACGGGGGTTGGAAGGGGCAGGACTGGCAAACTTCAGAGAGAAGATTTACTGGAATGTTGCAGACGGGGGCTGTGGAAGCCAGATCAAGATGAACAGCAGGAAGAGGGGGGAGATTTTTCCTCGGGGATTCTTGACTGAAGAGGAGAATCACAAGCTCAGGCAGGAACTGGAGCAATGTTTTCCAAAAATCAAAATTAAAAATTACCATCCTCTACAGCAAGAAATAAAGTTACATCATGACCCAGGATGACACGCCCACTCTCATCCATACTCACTCGATGGGAACATGACTTTTAAGAAACAATACTTACCCTTATAATGTGCAAAGCACTCCACTATTTTCTATTATATTCTGTTCTGTTCAATTCAATTCTATTATATTTTATCGTATTCTAATTCTCTTTCCTGAAAGGTAGGTCATTCTCAAGACCCTGAGTGCATATTAGAATTCCTTGGAGGGCTTTTAAGACATTCTGGGCCCAGGTTTTACCTCTAGTGATTTAATGGGTCTGGGGAGTGGGGGCACCTGAGTCCCCTGAGGGCAGGGTTTGGAGCAGGGCCTCTGAGGAGGAAGATGGGATCCAGGGCACAGGAGCAAGGGTTGCCTCCGAAAATAAAGGACTTATCTTCCTCTTGTCCTGTGAGGGGACAGGGAGGCAGCGGAAGCAACGCGGCTGTGGGGCTGTGGGGATGGGTGCCCAGAGGTAAGCGCGGCAGCAGACTCAGGACCAGAGCGGAGGGTAGCATGCTGAGAGGGGGGCTGGCTCTGGTGGAGTTCCTGTGTGGAATGGGACAGGGAGATAACCAGGAATGGGGTTCCTTGACCCCAGGCTGTGCTCAACTCTCAAAAGGGGAAGAAGAGACACTAGAGTGAGTTCTTGAAGGAAGTGGCCTTAGGACATGGCTAACAGTCCCTTGGACCTCAGCCTGACTTAAAGGAAAGCAGCTATGAACAGACCCTGTGCCGGCTCCATTTGAGGGCTGCTTCTCTTGAACATCTTACTCAGTGTAAACCTACCTACCTACCTTCCTTCCCTCCCCTCCCTCCCTCCCTTCCTCCTTCCCTCCTTCCCTCCCTCCTACCTTCCTTCCCTCCCTCCCTTCCCTCCCTCCCTTCTTCCTTCCCTCTCTCCCTCCCTCCTTCCTTCCCTCCCTCCTACCTTCCTTCCCTCCCTCCCTTCCCTCCCTTCCTTCTTCCTTCCCTCTCTCCCTCCCTCCTTCCTTCCTTCCCTCCCTCCCTCCCTCCTTCCTTCTT